GGTTTTAGATGCAGCCAGAAAAAGAAAACATAGACCAGAATATCTGACAAACATCAGCCATATACTGTATGTAATCATAAGTTTGCATTCTTGTATTTACGTGTTCAAGTGTTAAATTACGCCAGAAGGATCTATAATGGCATTCCAGTGTCTTGCAAAAATTTCCACTGCATCCAAATTTGTATATTGCCTAGTAGTACCACATTTAATAAATAACTTACAGTACTTCTTGACTATTAAAGTATCTTCTGTAAGTATACATGTGTGTAGTACAAATAAGAGCTGGATATACTACATGTGTCATGTTGGAACTGTCATGTGACCTATAACATCAGCCATGGGTCACTTCATTTACCAGTTTGAGGACTTGTGGGATAGTAAAGTGTCAATTAGATGCACACTGCAGAATCCTGAAAGAAGCAGAAGGTCATTCAGGTATTTTTTGACCAGTGACTGCAATATTTGCAATATATATGCTTATCCTTTCGTAAAAAGTCACAGTTATACTTAGTAGAAATAAATAGTGTAGTAATTTGCATATAGTGTATGCTAGACCTTGTGAAAAAGAAGTGCGCTTAACTGTATTGAATGTTCACTTGAAAGTGTACTTCAAATTTTAAAGTACAAAATTTGAAAAGTGTATTTTTTAAAAATGTACTTACAGAAAATACAATATTAATGAAATAAAAGGCCATTTAAATGTACTTAAAAATAATACACTTTCATCACTACTGTATGTTTCTTAACACACTTAAATACACTACAATACACAACATACTAAAGCACATCTAAAATACTTGATTATACTTTTAACTTTGTGATATTTGATATTACATTTCAAGTTAATAGTATATTTTTCCAGTATATTTTAAATTTACTAAATTGCATAAATTATAAATGTGGAATTACAAATGTATTTAAATACATGACAACATTTCAGTGGAAATGACACTGAAGTATATTTTAGTTTACCATGATTCTTGATAGTACATGTTGCAGTACACTTTAACCATATTTCAAAAGCACCAGAATTATGAAATAACATCCTACTTAAGTGGGTCAGAAAGCACTCATAAGTTCAACTAAATACATTTAATATAAGTTTAAACTATAATACATTCAGTTCACTTAGATATTTTCTTTCAAAGCATATTATTTTTTATATAAGTGATATTAGTACTTGATACTTTAAAAGTATGCTAAAGTGTAATTCTTCTTCACAATGGAGGGTTACAGGTTAACCAGTTAGCGGTATGCTCAGCTATCTGGCTAATCAGCTAGCAGTACGCTGAGCTAGTAGGCCAATCAGTTATGAGGCTAATCGCTGTCGGAATGTATAGCTGATAGCACAGGTACACCATGGAGACGTCTTTTTGATGTGCCTGTTTTCATCTGGAAGATGTATTTTTTAGAATAAGTTTCCTGTGAAATGTTAAACAGACATTTAGAAAATGTCTTTAAGATGCTTATGATTTAGAATTGATGTCAAACTGCTTATGTAAAACACCATAAAGTGATTATATAAGACTTATAGGAAGAAAAAAACATATTTGGCTGTTTATTTGCCAATCCATATGTGTTCAGTTCATTCCATCTCCATTTAACCCTCTGTCTGTGTATGTGTGTGTGTGTGTGTGTGTGTGTGTGAGTGTGTGAGTGTGTGAGTGAGTGAGTGAGTGAGTGAATGTGTGTGTTGTATGGCCGCATGTGAGGTGCTGTCTGAGAAACCAATGAGTTTATTTTTAGCTTTGCTGCACCATAGCCTATCATGTGATTGTAGCCTCTCTCTCTCACACCAAGAGTGAATGACTCAACATAGGTCAAGGAGATTCAGAGGTAATGAACATTGTGTCTTGAACAGCAGCTCAGACAGGGCTCATGTGAATTCTTCATTAACACAGTCTCTGATTCAGAAATGTTCAACTTAGCATCGTAATGAGAAACATTCATTATGAATTCACTGTGTGAAAGAACACAAAAAAAAAAACAGCATATGTGAACTGAACAGACTGCTCTGCCAAATAAGCGCTCTATGAACACTGAATGGAATAAAAGATTCAAAAATTTGAAATGTTTTTGCTCTGAAAATATTTGCTGCAAAAAGTGTTGGATAATAAATGTGGTAATTTTATACTGAAAGTGTAAATCAATTCTAATTTGAATTTAAATTGAGACAATCTTTAGTTAATTCACTAATAAAAACAAATATCAATAATAACTGTTGATATAATGTCCATACTACACTTAATTCTTAATTCTATTTATAACTGTGCAGGCTAAATGCTGAAAACTGTTGTTGAGGGGGTGAATGAAAATATCTTGATTTCAGCTGAAGTTTAGCTCATTTTTAATTCTTGTTTTGTCTTATTTTAAATCAAGTCATCTTGCGGCCCCATTGGATGTTTACTGAGGCCCCCTAATGTAAATATAAGTAAAATGCACAACAATTTGAAAATATTAACCACAGACAAACCTGTCGATACACAAGGGTTGTCTCAACGTAGCGATCAACACCAAATGACACAACCATACAAACCACTGAACATACTGTACTTCTATCCTTCATAGCCTTGTTTTCATTCATGTCACATAAAATACAGCGTCTACCCATACTAAGCTCCAGTAGGCCTACATCAAAGCAATGATTATAAAATGAGGTACAGCTGAGCACAGCACTGCAATGCTCAGGAGGACCAAATGAGGACAAATGAGGTCAGAGAGGATTGTTTTTTCTCAGTTAGTGTCACCACCAAGAGACAAAATCGTAATAAACTAGCAGATTCTTTCTTTTAACATTCATCTGATATAACATAAACACATACAGTAGCGCCATCAACATGGACAACGACCATCTGGTTGTTTTGTCAGACACCAGTCTACTGTATTTCTGCTTTCTTATTCTCTCCCTCCTCTTCATCTAACTCCAAACACTATGCCTTCTTCTTCTCATTGTTCTTTTCTGTATTTTGTTGCCTCTGCTCTTCTACATGGCATTTGCCTTACGTAATACACAATCTGTACTCAGCTTGTTTTGTTGACCTCTCTTTTGACTTTCTTATTCCAGTTCGCTCATTTACAGTCTTTATCCTCCTCTGTGTTTTTCTATTTTTACACAACAGCAAACAATTCTCATCATTATTAATCAGTATGTTTTTTCCAATCACACACACAAGATGAATTCTCCTAAGAAGAGATCTGCTTATGAAATTATTTTCAAATAAACCGACTGTATTTTTATCATTTTTTGTGTATTTATTGTGTTTAGTTCTAACATCAGATTTCTGTGACTTTTAAGCATTATCCTTACTAATTTAGAGCAGTGAACAGAGATATTTTTGCTGCTGAAAACACGTCTGTTATGGTGTTTGGTACTGTACACCTACTTTACAGTAAAGAAGTATGAATATTCAGACACAGGGTTCTTAATTGGCATCTATGGTTCCATAAAGAACCTTTAAAATGGAACCTTTCCATTGCACAAAAGGTTCTTTATAGTAGAAAATGTTTCAAATTGTTAAAATGTCCTTCACAGTGAGAAAAAACATGGTTCCTTTGCTTGAAAGTTTCTACAGAGAACTTCTTGGAAATGTTTTTTCTATGGCATCACTGCAAACCCCCTTTTGGAACCTTTATTTTAAAGGCAAGACACTACAGGCAAAAACATGCTGAGGTCAATGCTGAGATTTTGTGCTGTTTTACATTTCATAATGTGTTGTTTAATATTAGTGAAAAGAAAACATCCCAAATCAACTTGTGTTTATTTTATTGCACTTTATCTATTTGCGTCTGTAGATTTCAATTACAATACATATCTTTAAAGGGGTCATATGATTTTTTCTACATTTTGAGTTTTTTTCTCATGCACTAAGCCAGAAATCAGCAGTTTTTGACCTGTCAGTAATCACCTCACATCCTTAAATGTCACCCTTTACCCTGCATTAATCTAGGACTGGAGGTCATGATCCCACTTGCAAGGATCTAGTGTCAATGTGTCTGTGTCTGTGTGCAGTGGCATTTATATACATGTGTGTGCTCATAAAATCGCAGTTCCTGGGCTTATCGTGGAAAGAGGTTAAGACCATCTCTGACACGGAACAGCATCCAGTTCAGCGGAGCACTGCAGTGCGCGGAGAGTATGAGAGAGAGATGAATACAACATAAACTGCCACACCACTCGATGCTGTATTTTTGGAAACGCTATCCCAGCATGCACCAGCGCAGTGATACTGATCCCAGAATCTAGGTGTCCATTTTAGTCCCACTTTGCAGAAAAGGGAGGGGGGAGTAATTCAATCCTAATGATCCAAAAAATATTCTCGATTTCCCATGCTAAATTCACATTTCAAAAAGGGGAAACTTTAAAGCACAAAGATGGAATTGTTGAGATAAAGGCAACATGAGTCATATGATTGGCTCTTAGGAGGAGAGATGCTGTGGGAGAAGAGAAATGATTGGATGGTCTGAGGGTGGGAAGGAGGGTGATTGGTTGTTTTGCCCTATAGCAGCAGAGCCTGCAGGCAAACAGGCCAGCAGCGACAATTACACTGACAGATCTGAAAGAACTGGGTCGCTCGCTTTCCAACAGGGGATAAGACCAGCCAAAGCCATTGAAAGCACACATATATATACACACACACACACACATCACATGTTACTGTGCTTATACACACAAAAACACAAACCACCCAACTTACTTCATCCAGACTCATTCATATACAGTGTTCAGAGTGATATGTGGATGTATGTGGTTCTCAGACACATAATCCCTCAGCTTCTTCACAGCTATGCTTAGACGCAAGCATCTGTTACGTCAGAGCACACGTACAGAGCTCCAGATGAGACCCAGATGCATAGTCTCTTGCGTTATCCCAGTTCAACCGGATGTGCTGCTCTTACATCAGAATATTGTCATGTTCAGCTGAACTAGATGCTCCATTAACTGTACTCAAGTCCTGCATCGCACCTGACGGAGCACACCACACTAAATAAAAGTCACCTACCCCTGGCTGACAGCTTCTTTGTGTTGATGATTTTGGCCGCATACTCTTGGCCGGATGATATCTTCACACATCGCCTCACAACAGAGAATGCACCCCTGAAGAAGAGGGGAAAAAAGAGAAGACGGTGAGGGAAAAAATGGGCACGAGGCCCTGATTCCGAACAGATAGAACATATGGCATAGAGAGCAGAATCTGTGTCGTGATGGAGGCACAGCCTGAGCGCTTCCAATGTTACACAACTACGAATTTCCATGGTTGTTTGTCCGTGTGTGTTTGATGAATGTGTGTGGGAGTTTTGAAATTGTTTAGCATATCAAATCTGTGTGTCCACTTGCTGGAAATGAGGGATGCCAACTTAAATGTCCCCTCTGGTGTGGTTGTTCTTCACTCATACAGAATGAGACAATGATGCATTTTCCCCCAAATTTCACTATAAAAAAAAGGTAATAATTTTGAGAAAAAAACGTAAACATTCTACATTAAAGGTTAAATCACCTCACCATATATGGCCAATATATATATGTGTGTGTGTGTGTGTGTGTGTGTGTGTGTGTGGTGTAATATTACTATAATTTATTTACTGTAAAGACAATCCTTTAGGGGTCAATACATTATTTACAAAATCATTAAAAAATGATTTAAATAATGTTATTTATTATAACCATATCTGGTTTATATTGATAGTATATATTATAACATTTATACTATATATGTATGTGTATCTTATAGAATATAACATTTTTTAAATGTTTACAAAAACATAAAAACTATTTAAATAATGCTTTTATTTTAAGCATATTAAAATTGCATTGTGTGTGTGTGTGTGTGTGTGTGTGTGTGTGTGTGTATATATATATATATATAAAATAAAAAAGCTTTTTGGAATTAAAAAGTATAAATTACCTTATAAAAATAATATTTAACAATAAATACAGGTGTAGGCCTATTCCCTGTGCAAACCATCCACATTTTCATGGATTATATTTAAAATATTAATTTAGTTTTGATCATTTGTACATATTTGTGACGTGCATATATATACATAATAAAGTAATAATTAATGATAGTAAGCAACTAATGTTTAGTAAATGTGAGGATATACTGATCCTAATGGAATGTGCTCGAGCAGCATATTGTTGCTATAGTAACCTCCTCAGGTAAAAGCGACTTCGCGAGCGTCTATTTAGCGCACTCTGACTTGGAATTGTACTTTTGTGGCTAGTGAAACATTATTTGGAAACGCTGTTAAAACGTATATATATACAAAAAATAATTCATACACGCCAAACCTTTTGTTCCGACTTCTTTTGGAGGTGTTCAGATAAGTAATACAGCATAGTGATCATTTCTAGCCTATTTTATGAAAATCAAAAACTGCAAATAGAAAAATAGGCATCTCTATGTAACAGTGGGGAGCCAAGCTGTGGTGCCCAATCTTTCTACACGATGCCACCGCGCAGATGGCGCAGAGACGTTTCGACAACATATTTTGTACGGACTGTTATTCAAGTGATTTCAATTTAAGGTCACAATGGGCTTAAAAACGAACTCAATCCGGGTCATTTTAGATCTGAACGCAACTGCACGCAGAAATAAATAGATCACATGCTGAAATCTACTAGTGTAGGCTATCTCCTGAAACCCTTGCACATCGGGACCACCGATGTGGCCTCTGTGCACCCTCCCCCTCCCCAGTCAAACGCAACTTGAGGAATCCCCAACGCGATAATTAACGGTATGGGAACGTGTGTCTGCACTGTTGTCGCATTGCCATGAGTATTTCTGTCTCTGGGGGAAAAAGCCCGAACCCCACCCCCCTAAAATGTACATTTTCCCAGCTGTTCAGATATCTGACGTGATGATCACAATGGCCGCGTCACAAAACCTAGAGCGGTGCCTACCTACACACTGCATTTTGGGCATCACGGGCACGTTTGGAACGTTCTGTTCGGGTTCCAAACGCGCCCGTGATTGTCAAAGAAAGTCGTCTGGGTTGGCAGCTCACAAAGCTCTGAGACAGAGACTGTGTAATCAAGCGCTCACGGCAAGGTTATTATAAGCGATCGCTGCAATTATAGCGGAGCTGTCAAATAGAAGACGCGTCGCAGCCGCATCATTTCATTGTGCGTTCAGTAACATCAGGCGTGCATATTATATAACAAATGCACAGGAATGCAGTGATCCTGCAGTAGAAGATCCAACACTTACTTTCCGAGCTCTTCAAAAAGCTGATATTCGTCCGTAAATCTGGTGCAGATGGTCAGAGCCATTGTGATGGGGTTATCAGCAGCGAGAGGAAGAGTATGATGCGGGGAAGCGCAGTCAGTCTCCTCCCGTCCCTCCTGCAGACCGAAAGGAGAGCACTTGAATGATTTTTTTTTCTTAGCTTCTGCTTCGTGCCTGGTCTCTTCAAGAGAGATGCGCCGATCAGTGTCAGATGATCAGATATGTAAACCTATATAGGGGTCGATCACCAACGGGAGGAAGAAGTGCGTTCACATCCGACGGTTCCATGGGCTCATCATAATGCGCGTTGACGTTGCCATCTCTCTCTTGGACGTGTTTGCATACAGCACCTCGCCCCTTTCTCCCCTCCCTTTCAAAGCCATGCCCCGCCTTCACAAACATCATGCACCTGTAGAGTTTTCATATTCATACTTAATAAATCTTCATGGCAATAATAACAATAAGTTCAAATGAATAATTGACAGTGCTACACATAAGCATAACTGACGTGACATTTCACAATCCTGCAGTGTGCAACATGTGCATTGAGAAACTTAAGTTCTTATTGCTACTAATTGTTTACTTCTACTTAATAAAAATGATGATAATAATAATGTATTCAACTTTATAGAAATAACACTGTCCTTCTTAAGATATCCTTTTATTGAGTTGATAATCATAATGTCATAATGCATGCAGGTACAAGAGCAGTAACATGGTACTGTTACAGTCTCAGATGGCAATACCTATCACACTATTTACATAGTAATCCAAGGTACTTCAAAGAATACCATGGTTCTACCATTGTACCACTACCGTTTAAAAAAAATATATATATATAAAAATAATAAAAAAACATATAGGACCGAGTAGTATCGTGGTGCTTATTTTATAAGAGAGTACACTCTAAAAAATGCTGGGTTAAATACAACCCAGTGCTGGGTAAAATAGGGACAAACCCAGCACGGGGTTGTATTTAACCCAGCATTTTTTAGAGTGTACTAACAGACAAACAAACAATAAATGCATTGGCTACATACATGCATACAAAACATACATACATACTTTATATGGACATGTTTTTTAAGATTCCATACTTCACTGACAAGAATCCATCACCTCCAAGCCCATATGCTGCCAGAGCGCAGAACTGTTAAGACGCTGGCATTTCTACGCATGCGTACGTGCGGTGAAATAATCTCTTGTGCACTTCTATATTTTGAACACAAGAGCGCACTGTCGTACAGCCATTATTTCACAAACAACTGAATCGCCTTACTGTGTGGACGCAAACAATCAGTATCAGATTTCTTTTATAGAGGCTCTGAAATATAATACTTTTTTACCGTTGCCAGTGTTAAAATTGGAGGGTGGGGGGCTTATTATTATTAAGTCTTAAGAATAAGTCTTATTTTTTAGTCTTCTTGTTTCCATCCATCCTTTTATAAACTTTTTATAGCTATAGCTATCCGATCTGAGTTAACGCATGAAGTGACCAGGTGACTGAAGTGTAAACAGGCCCTTACTCAACCTCAAGCGAAGAAAGAAATTCATACAGGTCTGGAACAACATGAGGGTGAGTAAATGATGACAAAATTTTAATTTTTGGGGTGAACTATCCCTTTCAGTGAACAGATTAGTTTACTGAAGATTTATGTTAGATATGGTAAATCAGACCATGAGGCTCAAGTAGGATACAATCAAGTGTTCTTCCATCTCCATTCTGAACACATTGACTTACAATAATAATGATGGTTCTGCCAAAAGATAAATAACAATACAAATATACAAAAATTGTTGGATTTTATAATAGAAACTAGGATGTACTGTTACTGTTAAATAATTGACAAACATACACTCTAAAAAATGCTGGGTTAAATACAACCCCGTGCTGGGTTTGTCCCTATTTTACCAGTAAATGATGACAAAATTTTAATTTTTGGGGTGAACTATCCCTTTCAGTGAACAGATTAGTTTACTGAAGATTTATGTTAGATATGGTAAATCAGACCATGAGGCTCAAGTAGGATACAATCAAGTGTTCTTCCATCTCCATTCTGAACACATTGACTTTTTCTTGGCCCTACCATGCAAATACAAATACAGGTCACAGTCAAAAAAAGTATGTCACATGAATATACACAAGGAATATGAATATATAATGAAGCAAGTTGTTAGTCCACAACCATCTTCTGTGCTGATGGGGTCTCTTTTCAGTTTTTGTACTGGAAGCATGTCTTAGTATGATGGGGTGAAACTAAAAGAGTGTCAATATGCATTGTGATCATTTTCTCCTAGGTGTGCGACTATAAGATAAGCTACACTGCTCTGGAACCTTGAATGTTAGTTTCAGCTATAGCCTTTTGAAATACTGTTGGCAACTGTTGAGCAAGAAAAAAAAATCAAGCGATGTGTAAACAGGAAATACATTACAGCTCCAGAAGAGCGTAAAGTAAACTGTTTTACCCTTTGTCAGCGCCTGTAAACTGACCTTGTTTCCTGATTATTTTGTATCTCAACAACATTACACTGAAGATACTACATGCTGAGCCATGTCATATAAGTATCATATACTTATTTATTATCTTGTGTTTATTATACGTGTTTATTATCTCTATTCCAAAGCATAAAAACGCCATAAAAAATTCCAAAGCATAAAAAAACCATTTCTTTTAGTGATTAAAAATCTATGATAATAGGCAAGCTGGAGAACTAGATGGGCGGATTAATGGATAAAGTTCTTACAAACAAAAAAATAGAAAAAAGTATACAATTAAAATACTCTTACATATTACAATAGAATTGCTTTCTTGGATAATCTTTTCTTGTAAACTGGAATAAAACAAGACCACAGACATTTTTTTGTGTTGTCTCAATCTTGGCCTTAAACAAACATTGGGATAAGCATTTACAGGAACATTCATTCCTTTTGGTTTACTTCCAGCTTTCTGCTGGCAACGTTCCTGTGGGAATAACCAGCTGTAACAACCATTTCAGTGATGGTGTTCTTTCATCTATGGACAGAATTTGATGTTTTTTAAAAATGAAGTGAAACAGGAAACAAGACAGTATCTCTAACTCTGAAAGAACACTTGGGTATTGCATCTAGGGTATAGACTTTAGATCAAATTAGGTCGAGAGGGATGCATCCGAATATGAAACAGTATGTTAGACGTGTCCAAATTCAACACCTAACACTTTAGGCAAAATGCACCCAGGTGACCTATTTCCAGTCAAGATTCTGAATATCTGATTGACACTTTGATTATCTCATGAGACCATGGGAGAGGAGTTGTGAATGGCAGTGAAGCTACACAACTGAGACTGGTAGGTTACATGACAGTGACAACATGTCGTGACAGATATAGCACATCCATATTTCATTCATACTAGATTACATTACATTTAGTCATTTAGCAGACACTTTTAACCAGAGCGACTTACAAATGAGGACAATAGAAGCAATCAAACCAACAAAAGAGCAACAATATGTAAGTGCTGTGACAAATTCCAGTTAGTCTAACGCAGAACAAGTAGCAAGTTATAATAATAATAATAATAATAAATAAAAAGAAAACAAGTAGATGGTGGCATTTGCGAGGGTTGGAGGTGAGTCCAAAGGGAAGAGCGAAGTATGCACGCTGCGCTTCGCCCGTCAACAGGGGAGCCAGCACCCGTGCCCAGTCATCCTTATGCCACCCTTCCAAGGTGGCCGTCGCTTCGAACATTTGTAAGAAGGCTTCTATGTCATCATGAGGGGTCAGCTTGGGTAGCAGCTTCGCTGAATAAATAAAAAGAAAACAAGTAGATAGAATAGAAAAAGAATAGAAAACACTAGTGTTAGAGGGTCTATTTATTTATTTTGGGTTTTTTTATAAATAAAAAGAAAACAAGTAGATTAGTAGAACAGAAATAGAAGTAGAGAGTGCTAGTGTTAGGTCAAGTTTTTTATAATAAAAGAAAAAAGTATATAGAATAGATAGTGCTAGTGTGTCAAGGTTTTTTAACGAATAAAAAGAAAAGAAAGGTAGAATAAGAATAGAGAGGGTCAAGTTTTATATATATACTGTATATATATATAAAATAACCAGACAACAAAATAAAGCACAGGCATTCTTTAAGCAATATATATATATATATATATATAGTAACGGGGTGTCGCCTGCATTCTCCACCACTGTAACGGGGTGAAAAATCACACGACAAGTAATCTCAATCAATACCCCGGAGGGTGGACTTATTGGTGATGATGATGGCCAGGTGCTCCTCGCTTGTTTCCAGGGCGACGCTGATGAAGCCTCGGGACGCTCGTCACACTATCTATCTATCTATCTATCCATCCATCCATCCATCCATCTATCCATCCATCCATCCATCCATCCATCTAGCCATCTATCTATCTATCTATCTATCTATCTATCTATCTATCTATCAAACGGTGCCGTGAGTGCTCTCTCCTCCCAGTGCAGAGGGTCCGTGCAGTGCTCCTGTGGGGCTGGTCGGCCACACACTGCTTTCTGTGGGAAAAATGAGAGGGCGAGTTAGTGCTCAGTCTCATGGAGGAATCTCCTAGATGGCAGGGCTTGCGTGGCTTATGTAGCCGCCGCCTGATGAGGTGCAGCTGTCAACCCCTAATCCCCTGAGTGCTGGACCACAGGTGCCCAGACAATCAAAGAGAGAAAGGTGAAGAAGAACGAGAGAAGGATAGGGCTGCACTTTCCCCTCAGAGATCCATATATACGCAAACATACGTATTTTATCGAGAGGGCGGGGAGAGACAGAGCGATAAATTGAGATAAACAAGGTCTTGGTGAGGTTGAACCTTTGAACTCTGGCTAAGGAGGGGCTCAACCCTATTGAACCCTGGCTGTATTTGTAGTTGTCTTTAAAGAGGACATGATTACGGTTACAGAGCTAATGTCAAAAAGATTATCCAACATTTTGAGTGACACCTGAATAAGGGTACTATTTACATTTACTGGGAAGATAGCAACCAGTAGTAAACAGCTAATCAGGTGCTTGTTTCTTTCCCTTTTTACTGGTATGTTGGTTTAGCAGTGAGCAGAGCTGTGGAGGCAATATTCAGACGGAGCCATTTTCCTGTCTGCCCTCTGCAGACCTCACTCACTGATACCCTGACAAAGGTCTCCAAATGCAATATATTTACACTTTTACCTGCTTATGTGAATGCACACACATATAAGCACACAGACATGTTCAAGGTTTAATCCTGCTCTTGCCAGTAGAGAGTGTGAGTGTAGATCAATGGCTTGCATATTGATTAGATCGGCTGAAGAGCACCAGGTGCTCTTCCATTGGGCCTAACACATTAGAGCCA